AGCTGCACATCGCAGTCGACCTTTAGGTCTGTAAAAACAATATTCTGCTTGTTCTGGAAACGTCTCACCGCATTACTTTTTTCTGTTGTTTGCTAATTTCTCATTGTGGTTCAAGCGTGAGAGTAAGTCAGCAGCATTAGCACACAACTCGGTCCAAACACACTGTTAAAGTCTCTGTTTTTCCTCCCTGGATTTTCTTTTTGTGGATTAGGAATCCACAGCTAGAGGGACTCGGGACCAGACATTTATTTGTATACATCCATGCGATCCACCAGTGTTGAGGTACATCAAAACTAATAGAACGTGGATAGCTATGGACATTTTAATTGACAAAATATGAAAGCAATTGGTAAAATTTAGGCTACACGTTTTTACAGCTGGATCAACATGAGGAGTCATGTAGAGAGATGATAAATAAAGTCAAGAGATTGGACTCACTGCACAGATTTGCATGTCTAAACTTTTGGATGCTAGTGTATAATACAATAAATAAATAAATAACAACTTTTACACAATCACACGAGCCAAAGACGGCTCCATAATCACAAGTGGTCTACTGATACAGTCTATTAAATCTTATTGTCTAATTAAAAGAACAACATAAATAATCAGTGTTTAAAGACAACCTCGTCTTATTTCAGTCCAACATTTATTGTTTCGTGTTGATTCCAGCTGTGTCTATTTTAAAATTCCAAATTGTTTATTTTACAGTTTAATTTCCTCCTCAGTGGCCATTCCATTTCAGAAGACACGTTTCATTGTGACATTTCATCAGCGGGGCTTTAGTGCGTCTGTCTGCTGCTTTACTCAGATAACTCGCATAACCGCCGCTGCCATGTTTGTCCTGAATGACTGACAGAAATGCTCGAGAGGAAAAATCGTGTTATGAAATAAAAGTGGAGACAAAAGTGACAAGCAATTAAGTCGAAATGTTTGTCAAAATTACATGTTGATGAACTCATTATCTAATGTGGGATTCGTTGAGGATGACATTTAAAAATTCGATGGAAGCAAAAGATGATGGGAGATGCTTCACAACTTAACTTTGTAGACGTTATTTTCAAACATATATATCTGCTATTGTGTATTCTTAAGTGACGTCAGGGTAACCCCCTGACCGTGGCTCAGGGGGTTGGGAAGCGTAACCGGAAGGTCGCCGGTTCGATCCCCGGGCTCTCTGTCCTGGTCGTTGTGTCCTTGGGGGAGGCACTTTACCCTACTGGTGTTGGCCAGAGGGGCCGATGGCGCAATATGGCAGCCTCGCTTCTGT